TATTGTTTTATTGTTGATCATCGTATATATATTACTATTGTTTCCTTATATCACTATCATTGTTATAATTCATCATCATTATTTGTTGTTGTTCTTTGCATCAATAATCGTTGTTATTATGATTATCACTATAATCATCCCTACTATTATCAGTTGGCATTCAGTATTTATCTACTTATGGTTATTATCATTACCTTATCACAGGTTTTAATTATGGTTGTACTGTTGCTTGTTGTTGTTGTGTTCATCTGCCTTGTTGGTTAGTTTCTTTCCTTTATTTGGTCTTCAAGTTATCTTTATATCAATTCTTGCAAACTGTGGGCTTCGTTTGAAGAAAGCAGTGCAGAATGCGCTAGACTTCTTTCTCTCTCTCTTCTCTCTTCTTCTCTCTCTCTGTAATTCAATTTGTCATTTCTTGAGTGTGTGTGTGTGTGTGTGTGTATGTCGTGTTTGTGTGTGTGTGTGTGTGTGTGTGTGTGTGTGTGTTGTGTGTATTGTGTTGTGTGTTTTGTGTGTGTGTTGTGTGTGTGTTGTGTGTGTGTGTGTTGTGTGTGTTTGTATGTCATGTGCGTTGTGGTGCCATTATATATATATATAATATATTATATAATATATATATATTATATATATATATATATATATATAAATATATATATATATATATATGTGTGTGTGTGTGTGTGTGTGTTGGGTGTTGTGTGTGTGTGGTGTTGTGTGTATATATAAATATTATATATATATATATATATATATATATATTATATATATATATATATATATATGGTCATGTATATATTATATTATGTATATTATATATAATATTATATATATATATATATATATATATATGTATTGTATATCATATATATTTTTGCATATGTATATGTGTATATAACACACACACCACACACACAACATAACATACATACATATGCCTTTATTCTCTATTTCTTCCTCAACTCTATCTCCATTATTACGATGTGTTCGATTTTTCAAAAATCATAATCTAAAAATTTCCGGCATGGAATTGTGCCATCGCTCTTTTACTTTCTTTCTCTCTCCTTCTTTCCTTCTCTTTTTTTTTCCCTTTTTTACTTACGTGAACAATGAAGATTCCAAAGTGGCATCACTTTATTTTTTTCGATTTATTTTGTGAAGGATTTGCATTTTTGTTATTACACGTCATCGGTTTTTCGGTTCTTCTTTCTTCTTCTTCACTTTCTTCTTCTTCTCCTTCTCTTTCGTCTTCTACCTCTTTTTCATTTTCTCCTTCTTTTTCGTCTTCTCCTTCTCTTTCATCTTCTTTTACTTCTTCTTTTCTCTCTTTCTTTCTTCTTTCCCTTTTCTTATTTTTTTTTTCATTCTCTTTCTTCTTCTTCTTCTTCTCTTTCTTCTTCTCCCGCTCTTTCTTCTTCACGATCATAATTATTTATTAATATTGATAATAATAACAATGGTTATCATTTCTCCTCCTTTTCCACCTCTCCTTCCTCCTCCCCTTTCTCTTCCCTTTACTCCTCCTCTTCCTCCTCCCTTTCCACCTCCCCTTCCGCCCCCTCTCCCTCCTCCCGTATCTCCTCCCCTTCCGCCTCCCTCTCCTCCTCCCGTATCTCCTCCCCTTCCGCCTCCCTCTCCTCCTCCCCTTTCTCCTCCCTTTCCTCCTCCTCTTCCTCCTCCTCCACTCCCCTCTTCCTCCTCCTCCACTCCCCTCTTCCTCCGCCCGCTTTACCTTCCCCGATAACGAAATCATCAGTCGAAAAAAAACAGAAAAATCGTTTCTTGCATCAACAGAGTGACGAGGCAGGCGACCGGCCACTTTTAGACGATGTTAGGCAAATGATGCTGCTGCTTTGCAAGTCACTCTAAGTCTAGTTTTTACTACAATCTTATTACATTTTCCACGGCTACTTTCTAGAGTCACAAGGCCAAACATCACGATATCATTCAGAGGATAACGGGTAACTTTGATTGGGTACCTTTATTAGAGATCGATGCGGAATTAGTCGGGATTTTATTTTATTGTCCTGTCGAAATATCTCCACATAAGCACATTCCACGTACAGAGATAATCTAAAATTCGTATATATATATATATATTATATATAATATTATATATATATATATATATATATATATATATATAATATATATATATATATATATTATATATTATATATGTTATATATTATATATATAATATATATAAGTTATTATCATTATCCCTATATATACCTATAATATATATCCTATACACTATATATATTAATATATATATAATATATATAAATTTATATATATTATATATATATATTATATATATATATATTTATATATATGTGTGTGTGTGTGTGTGTGTGTGTTGTGTGTGGTGTGTGCGTGTGTGTGTGTTGTGTGTGTGCGTGTGTTAGTGTGTGCCGTGTGTGTGTGTGTGTGTGGTTGATGTGTGCAGTGTGTGTGTGTGTGTGTTGTGTGGATGTGTACTGTATATATATATATATATATATATATATATATATACTATATATATATATATATATATATAATATATATATGTGTGTGTGTGTGATATATATATATCTATATATTATATATATAATAATATATATATATATGTCACTGTGTGTGTGTTATGTGTGTGTGTGTGTTTGTGTGTGTTGTGCGATGTACAGTTTGTGTGTTGTGTGTGTGTGTGTGTGTGTGTGATCTGTGTGTGTTTTTTGTTGGTGTGTGTTGTGTGTTGTGATGTAAATATATATATATTATATTATATAATATAATATATTATATTATATAATATATATATATAT